AGAAAAAAACTTCATAAATAATCTGTTTGTCATGGAGAGAGTAAGAACAAGTCATCAGAGCAGCCATTTACTGAAGTCCTTCCTACAGTGTTTTTGTTTTTTTTTTTTTATATTATTTGTCTGGGTTTTTTTTTGGACACTGAGATGCAATCCGTGCTTTCAAATGTTTACTGTCTCATAGCAGCCTCCAGGTACAAGAAAATAAATCCTCAGCAGCTCTGCAAGAGATGATCATGGCTGCAAGCAGTCCCAGTGCCTCACTTACAATTATAGAGTCATTAAGGTTGAAAAAGACCACTGAGATCATCCAGTCCAATCGCAGACCCATCACCACCACACCCACTAACCACATCCCTCAGTGCCACATCTCATGCTTCTTGTAAACCTCCAGGGATGCTGGCTCCCCCACCTCCATGGGCAGCCAGTTCTGCCTCTTGAAGGAAACGTGCTCTTATGGTCTCTAGATCCGCAGTTTTGTAAATACAAGGGACATCTAGGATGACCATCCTTTGTGTGGAAAACAGCAAGGAGGCAGGTGGCAGACAGAGCACTGGGTCCACGTCTGCACCTCCAAATAAAGCAAGCTATGAGGCAGCGCAGGGATCACTGCAATGGGTGGAGCTTGGATGGTTTTCAAGAGCCACAAGTGGCCTCATCTGATCCTGCTTTGAGCAAAATGCTCAAAGACCTCATGAGATCTCCTCAGTCCAGAATTAGTCTATGATTCTACAGCTTTTACTAAATCTGTATCCGGGAAAATATTTCACAGCAAATCTAAAGCCATATTATGGCCTGCAGGCACTTCCAAACAAAGACTGTCAGTTGTTTACAGTCACAAAAAAATACGCTACATATATGAATAAAGAAGCATATCAGAGACCTTTTCAAGAGTGGAATTTAATTAACGGAGCAAGGCAGTCAGGCTGAGATGTCTGTACCAGCACTGTATTGGTGCCCTCATGTTTCAGAGGAGCCTGAAGAGCTCCTTAAGCAGATCAAAGCGTGGGATCCACGTTCTGCAGATCGAGATGCACAGAAACAAGTTCCCAGCCCCTGCTGCCCGTTGATCCCATCTCCATCAACTAAGTAGACAATTAAATTTATGTACGTCTGCAAGTCCCAACCATTGCCTAGTAGCTTATAACTTAATTTCTTCATATTAGATGTGCATTCCTTGCTCTTTGATGCTGTATTAGCAGATAACAGCCTGATAATCTCCCATTTGACTGCTTACGAGGCAAATCTGGTGTCATTTGCTCGGAAGGTTGGACATACTGAGGTCAGTCTGACATGGCAGCTTTGGGGGAAGGATGGGAGGACATTATAACCAGCAGCAGAAAGCAATTTCTTGCACATCTAATGGAGAAGCGTTGCAACCACAGTGCTTGTGTTCACTAAGCATCACTCACCTCTCTGAGCTGTTCCCCCTTCCTGGCACAAAACTCAGTTTTCCCTGCCCTCTGCTGTTTCTTTAAGCAAAACCTTTGCTTTGCATTGCCGTTTTGGCTACAGCAGCCGTCACTGGACTCAGCTCCATGAAACACATCTGCAGCTGCCAACCACATTCATTTCTGACCTCCTCATCTTCAGATCCAGCCCTCAATGCCCAGTTCCCACTGCTACCCAGCAGCAGGATCCCTTTGGTGCCAAGGAGCTGAGACTCGGTGCTCTATGAGACGCAGAAGCAGTGCTGATGGCCAAACAGCAGAATGGAGCGTCACAAAGCAGGGACACCTGCACCTTCTCCCAGTTCAAATGGCCATTGACAATTTTTGTTATTTTGAATACAAACGCCTTCCACCCTTTCTCATACCATCAATCTAATCACCTTCAAGAAGCTCTTACAGATGCGGAATGAAGTCAGAATACATTTGGATATCCCAAGCAATCCTGCCAAGCAGCTGAAGGTGGTTGTGGAGCTGCAGTGGTTTCACACCAGCAGCTCAGCACAGCTGATCTCACTCCCCCTCCTCAGAAGTGCAGAAGGAGAAAAAGACTCAAGGGTTGAGATAAGGACAGGGAAACCACTCCTGTGTTATCAGGATGGGCTAAACAGACTCAGCATAGGGAGAAGAGAGGGCATAGTAGTGATGGCTAACGGTTAGAATGGTCTCAGTGGCCTTTTCCAACCTTTATGATTGTATGATTAATGCAGTTCTATTGCCTATGATTACCAGATTAGAGCAGTGAGAATTAATGAACTAAAAACAGCACCCTCCAGGGGAAATATTATTATTAGAAAGTATCATCATTTTCAGTAGAAATTTGAGTGATTCTTCAGATCTGGTCATTCAATTCAGGTTCAGCCTTAAAAATAAGCATTTAGTAATACATTCTTTACAAGATTTTATCTTTATCACACGCTTGTTAACAGCCTTAAAACATGGTTAATAAAGATAAATCAAAACATGTTTTTTTCACAACATAGCAGAAAAAACCTACATTAAAAACTATCTGCTACTAAACAGAGCAGAGGAGTCGAATGATCTCCCCAGGGGGTTCTGAAGAACTGCATTGGTGCTTACCAGAGATGGCATTATTCAGTACCCAGTGTACTGAATAACACAGCAAAACCAGTAAACTGAATTATTTCTAAATGCTGAGCCTATTGTACTTTGGAAATAAATGTAATTCTTAGGGGCAGGGATCAGTTGTCACCTTCCACAGGTGATACGACTCTCAAAAATGACAAAGCTGGATTGACAGAGAATATACCAGGAGAGGGAAAATGACAAAAGCCCTTACATGTCCTGTTAGAAAGAGGACACATCTCACTGTGCATACAGCTCCTGCTTTGGGAGTCACTGGAGACATACTAGGTACCAGTAATTCTACCTTGGCATGTAGGTTTCAGGACATTTCACAACATTAAATTCAGCCATTTATCCCTCCTTCCTCCGAGCACCCTTAGCTGTGGCAGATTTACTGCTCTGCAAACAACTGCCTGCAGCACGTGGGATGTAAAGCTATCAAACCACAGAACGGTTCCCACCCCATACATGTGTAACAAGCACATGGAGCAATTTGCTGTTCAAACTCATGAGAATTTAAGAGATTGGGGAGCAATTTTGTCACAACCTTTCTTGCTCCAGCACACACACCGTGCTCCATTTTATGAACATCTGAACCGCTCTCCAAGCTGCTGTGACAACACACAGGAGTCTGATAGACTGCCATCATTAATCAGATTCTTGACATATTTGCAGCTTATCTATAAGAACAGCCAGTGAAGCAAACACCTGACCCTTTCTCCTCCCCGCTGTGAAAACAAGGCTCAAAAATGACCTCGTATGTTCTCTCAGGGTATGATAATGGCACACAAACACAGGCAAGTCTGTATAGAACCATTAACACTGGAAAAACAGGCACAATGATCTAGTCCAACCACCACCATGGCTGTGAGACAACAGCCTGGCACATTCCAGATGGATTTTTCTTGGTTGCTTTTCAGACTGACAGGTGAGGAGCTGGTAAAGGAAGGCCACTGCAGGCAGGTAGGCCAGCAATTCCACATCAGCAGCACTGGTTATGCTCATTTAGCATTGCCATTCACTAACAGTACCAAATGCATTAGGCCTACAGAATTGCTCTATGTTCCACTTACGCTGATGGCTGAATTGTAAGAAAGGTGTACATCCTTACCTCAGGTTTCCGTGGTGCAGTGACTCAGCTGCTTAACCGGGTCACACCGGGGCTCTGCAGCTTGCTCTTTCAACAGCAGAGGCCATGTGGTAACATCACTGCCAACAGCTGCTAGCTGAAATTGCTTCCCGCCTCAAGCCATCAAACCATAAAGGCCAGGCCATGACAACCAACAGAACAGCTTTCCAGGACTTTATGAAGTAAAAGAACATCGTTAAGTGTTTTTCTGCATTTTCTAAAGTTTTGAAGATGCCTCAGCATCAAGAAGTAGTGAGCCACAGCTTCTGAGACAGTAAACACAACCTGGATTCTCAGCTACCTATGATCTTCCCCACTCATTTCTCCTCATGCCCAGCAGGAAGAACCGTTTGTCCGACATGAGCACTGGTGCAGCCGTCAGTAAGCCCTCACTTTGTGCTGGGCAGAGCAGCACGAAGCGGATGCCGCCCAATCTGTGTGAACAGACCAATCCCCAATTTCTGCCAAAGCAGGGATGGTCCCAAAGAGCCACAATCGTATTGTGGCAACTGGCATTTCTGACAAATGTCCACACATTTTTACATGTTAAGTAATAGGAAGCTGGTTGTCTTCAGCTACTTGTAACCCACATGATGTCCAAATCCTAACGTTCAACTGACATTCTGCACTGCTCTAACATGGAGATACCTGCAGTGCCCCGTGCATCAGGAATTGATGTACACCAGCATTTCTGCTGGGCTGACAGGGAAAAACGTAAGCAGCCAGCAGTCAGTGCTTCAGCCTGGAGATAATACTGCCACGCTTCCCAAAACGCATACAAATAACTGCTAGAGCTTCCACACTTTTGTCTGTTGTTAAAGCTGATCAGATAGAGCTGAACAAAATGCAAATCTGAAGGAGAAAACCCGTTATGAGTATTTCCAAAACAGGCGTGCTTTGAGGGAGCTCTTCCTTCCAGAATGCACAACCTGCCTCAATGCCAGGACGCTTCCAGATCCAAGCAACTGCAGCCCTAACCCAAAGTTCACAATGCATGTTTAAGATCAAGTCAGGGCCTTATTTAAGATTCCAAAGAAACCACTAACAAAGACAATAACCCTCAGCAAACAGAACATTACCTCAGCTCCTGCTTTTTCCCCCTATTTTAATCCCTCAAGTTGATCATGTTCAGCAAATAGGCACTGCTGCCTCTACCAGTCCTACCACAGGTGTTTCTGCTGCTGCACAGCCTTAGGTGATGATTGCAACAGCTGTGCTGAACAGGACCATAAGCATTTTTCCCCCCAAAATAAGAAATATGCAAGTTCCAAAAATGGGAGCAAAAGACAAAACATAATTAAGAACTACTGAAGAAAGGTTTAATTAAAAAAAATCAGGAATTCAACAGTGCCTAAATCTTTATTTTTCATAACCTACATTTTTTTTTTTTTTTCAAATTAGACAGTTTTACATTTTATGACACAAAAGGAAACTTAAATTACCGATAGTTTACATGTAAGCTTGATTCCAGTCTTAATGGAAGAAGAACAAAAACAAAAACCCTCAAGAAGGCTTCCATATTACACTTGTATTTCACGAATTGGCAGCTGTTAGGTCTCCTTGGAAATCTTCGATTGTCTGCTGCTATTAGTGTAATAGGTTACAAAGCACATGAAATCCCTAACTGCACTAGCTGAAGGAGATACAGAGATAGGTATGCACCATTACAGTCAGCTGTTGCTTGTGATACACTGCACCACACTCAAGGGCCTTTCTGTGACAACTGCTTAAGTCTTTAAAAGGATAATGCAGCAACATAAAACATTGCCACGTGGCAAGTGACAAATGTCAGCAGGGGGTCTCTGGTCTGAAACAAGATTTAAGTTTAAAAAGCAACTTTTGTTGGTTTTATTTTCTTTTCATTCCTTGAAGAGTCTCAGATCCCATTTAACTTGCTTTCAAAACGAAAAGCAGCACCACATAATCCTACACCGTAAAATGCCAATTTTAATTACTGTATCCTCAGACCTTTAACTCAGCTACTGCTTTTGGGAGGTTTTTCCATTTAAAAGCCACATCTTAACATCGCTATACACTGTAGCAACAGTCTGCATGCAACTTCACAACTCTATTCCGAAAACCCCATTTTGTCATCCAGTGGAAAAAAAATCTCCAAAGTAAAACGCAGTAGGATAAGTTGTACATTACACAGCTATTTGGCATGTCACTTTTTCTTTTTTTCTTTTTTTTTTTCTTTTTTTTTTTTTAAAAGCTATAAAAACCACGTCAGAGGAAGATTTAAACTTTCGATGCAACAGATTGTTGCTGGGTAAGCAGTAATTACAGTGTGTTGACCTAGCACAAATGGCAGCAGAATACATTAGAACAGCACAACACATCCTGCTGGTCTCAAGAGATTACCTTATGTACCAGTTGAGCATTACGACTAGCTGTACACAGTCTGTAAGTAACCACCTGTGATTGTTTGCAGCTGGTAAGCCCTTCACTTTCAGCAGACAAACAAAACGAACCATACAGCCAGCCTTAACCATACACAAATCTAGCTACCACTTTCACTGCCACCGGGAAAGGATAAGCGCATCAAAATCCAATGACAGAACTAGTTGAGCTGTTTTGGTGATGTTGTCAAGAGTCCTATCTCCTTCCACAGCATTCACAAAGTGTGCTTTTTAAACAAGGAAAATCAATGGGTTCCAGCGTGCCCTATTTCAACCAATTCCGCAGCATACAACAGGCTGGACTTAAAGGTCAACTAGTTACTGGTTGATTCCTAACAGGAAATTTGTCAGAAGTTACCTCTAGAGTTACTTTACAGTTCTATGAATCATACGCTGAGGAAAGCACTGATATTCTTGAAAGCAGACAAGTAAGCCTCAGTGTACATTCTTCTTAGCAGTCTAAAGTTTTTTTCCCAATTCCATTTCATTTTTTATTAATGACTTAAAATTACAACTTCTGCTAAGATCCACTATTTACATTGCAGAACACTTCTGAATTGGTTAAATCACTTTTTAGAGGGTTCGGAAAACACTCGAGGGCTTTCAAATAAGACTTTCGTTCCATTTCCCTTTTGCAGTGAAGAGGCAGAGTCAGTTCAGCACACCAGAATAAAATAAGGAAAAGAAAAAACAACAAATTAAAGTAATATTCAAACCACAACATTTAGTTTATCTACATCCAGCTCAACAGCAACATTTATAATATCAATAATTTTTATCAGATTTTTTCTTTAGGGTACCTTTTTATATGTTCTGATTATTTACAACTGTACAAGCAAAGCACACACTTCCAAGTGCACATATTTAATACAGTATTGACTATTTGCATTTACAGATTTTTCAACAATCTGAAAAAGATCAACTGTTTAAGATCTTTAAGGTATATTACAAAAACTGCTGCTAGTTCCTGTACTACAGTATGTTTACCCAGTAAGACCAGTGACAATAGATACATACTGCAACTGAGTAATTCTGTATTCCACTCACGCTAACCCTCAATGGGGTCAGACCTCATTAACTCTAAGCTGTCTTGTACAAAAGTTAAGGCAAAGTCATTTTCAAGTTTAAATAAAATTCAAGTCTTTAAATATTGGATGGAAATAATTCTTAAAAAAATCAGTTGTTTAAATAAACATTTTTGTGGAATAAACTGTACTGTCATAGTCAGCAGGAATGAGTTTAGTCTGGACTTCCTGCAGTTTAAACACTTAAAGAAAAGCTTTAGGCATTTTTGAAACAAAAATAATTTATATTCAACTTTATTAGAAACTTGCTAATTTAGTGCATCCTTGTCCTTCAGAAAGCGCATCACTTCTAAAGTAAATAAGTGTGAGAAACCTCATCCCAGAGGTAAGTATCAGGGATCTCTTCCTCCACCACACAAAACAAACACCATTATCTCACATCTTGAAAAATTTCAATCTATATGCCAATGCTTGTAGTTACAGGAAGGCGTCAACACGAAGCTGACTAAGATATGAACTCTTTCAAAGAGCACTTGGGGCAGAATTTAAAAAAGAAAAAGTCTACACAGAGCACAGGGGTAACCAGAACGTACAGCGCTGACTCAGTTAACTCCCTTACAAGCACAGGGAAGCTAGGGTTATCACAAGAAGGCTACAGTGCTTTCTTCTGATAACATCCACTAGTAGGCTTCACCACCATAGAAGCTCACAGACTTAGTTCTTTCTATTCACAATGTGCTTTGTATTTGCAAATTATATTATCAGTTTTATTCTGGAGTGAGAAGATGGTTACTTGCTTGCAGTAAGTCAAAATCAGAAAGTGTTTTAGAAAGACTGCCATGGTGCTCCGTGGGATTCATTCTGTGTGTGCAAAACATCAAAAAAGATTAGGTTTTTAAAAAAGCTAGAAACAACTACTTGTTTAACCTAAAAGTGCAAGTTCATTTGCTGACATTTAGTACAGCAGCCTAATAAAAAAAATCAAGGTCACATACCAACTTGTAAAATATACCTACTTCTTGCAGTCTACACACTAGCTGCCGTTATCAATCTTTTGGACACTTTAGATATGTACTTGCAGACCAGTTTATTAAAAATATTGCAGCAGCACATTTCTGCTTAACAGTTTAGAAAAAACTCACTATACAGAGCTTGCACTCACACAGCCACAGAGAGGCTTAAGAAAAAGTCGCTTTTTTTTTTTTTTTTAAAGACAAATATTTTACATCCTGAAAAAAATAATCACACTAAGCTTCACCTCCAATTAAGCACCAACCTAAATGTAAGGTTTAGAACAACTATCCAGAAATATCCAGAAAAAATAGAATGTTTGTTCAAGAGGGGAAAAAGTATTTCACAGAAAAATAACTTGCAGGCATTGTTATATGCCTAGTATCACTGCAAGCTCCTAACCAGCAACTCATTCTCAGGTATCTTAGTGGGAACATGGGTTTAATTTGTGGGAAGCAGACCTCTTTGAATCCCTCCCAGGTGCTGGTTTCACTGAGGAGATTTCGGAGGGGTACTCTGTTCTTTATTTAAGCGTTTGCCAACAGCGGGAGGGGACGATCTGCGTCCTGACTGTCTTCTCTGGTCTTTGGGTTGTCCTGGATGTGACTTTGCAGGAGGAGGTTCTCTGTTTTTCTCTATTGTTTCTGTGGGCTTTTTTTCTTCTTTCCCACATGCTACAGTGTTTGGCTTCTGTTCTTTCTGTGGTTGCAATGTAGGAGGATCTTTAGTTGTTCTCTGGCAAATTTCTGCGTAACTAGGTTTTCTCAGTTCCTGTGAAACCAATAGCAAACAGGACAGCAGGGATAAAGCCTCCAGAGGAAAAATCACTTTACTCATGAAAGGTAAAATATTTTGTCATAAGCAACTATTATGCTTAAACATGCAGATAAGAGTTTGAATATGAAGTTTACAGAAGTAGTACAAAAAACAAGAGCAAGAGACAAGGTAAATGCAACACAGTATTCCAGAAAAACAGGACACTGTGACAGGACAAAAATTCTAATTCAAGTAAACTCAAAAGCAATTGAAAGATCATGAGCACTCTGGCTTAAATATCAAAAACATTAATACTTCTGACTAGAGACTACTTCTGTGTTAGAAGAATGTTCAGGTAGAACTTTATCAGAAGTAATCTTGAATATTTTTTGCACTGTTAATTGCGGAACTACAATAATCACAGGCCATGAACATAGCCTGATGTTTGACATAGCTCTGTTTTCAGCAACTTCAGGGTTTATTAATGCTTCTGCAATAAATCACAAGGTTAGGCTGTGATTTAAAGATTCTCGGTTCGTACGATTTAGCAGCACTGGACAGCAACAGAAGCAATATTCTGTTAAAGGCATCAAACTGGATCACTAAGAGAAAGTGAAATAATAAGATTGCTTACTATGGCAGCGCCATTGACTTGTACCGATTTACATGCAGTACTGAGTGTGGAAGAAGAAAGCCTTTCTGTACTCTGTGTCTCTCTCTGCTGTTTATCCACAACCTTGGAATCCCTGTAAAGCATCCAGCAGGAACAAAGTCAAGAGAACTGAAACTTGAGGACAAATGATCAATCTAAGAAAGGCTCTAGAACTGTTTTTGACTGACTACAATTTAGAGTGTGCCAGCAAGTTACAGCTATGATTAGCATTCCTTTTAAAAATATTACAAAATTATAAACAAATAGAAGTTAGCATGGAACTTGACACAATCTCCTATTTGGGACATTCCAAAAGCATTTGGCATTCAGTTATTTTACTCCTGTTACTCAAACATCTGAATATGACTTGCAGATTTCAAATCAAGTCTTAATGAAAACTTTATTGTGAGGATAATGATACTACCCACAGGATCCTGCATTTACTCTATGCTTCAAGGCTACCTAAATATAAGACGCTAAGACATTCAAAGATTTTTCTTTTTAATACTTGTCAAGATTAAAATTTTTCTGCTAAACTTTTTATGTTGACTGAAGTCTGAATCATCATAGTGACACTACTCAGAAATTAAATAAAAAAACATTTATTTTCCCAATACTTTAATTGGGAAATGTAATTAATTAATTAATTTTAGCTGTTTACAGTGTTATGTTTGGCCTTCTGATAATTAAAAATGCAAACACAACTGAGAGTCACGTTTAGAGATACACAGTTAAATTCTTACTCCGAAGACTGGGGTGGTGAAGGAGACCTTTCAAACGTCCTGGGCAATGTAGAAGCAGCTGGCAACAGTGGCTCGCGAGGAATTCCCGATGGAGTAGTGTTTGTACTTGCATCCACATTAATGTTCTGAAGGAGAAAAGAGGCAATCACAGTACCCAATTAGTATGGTTTGCAGATTGCATTAATTTTCAGGCACACAGTTTACATGTTAAAATGTAAGTTAACTAAAGGAAGATCCAAAAGGGTTCATTATATTGACTAGAACTGTTTTTTTTTCCCCTTACAATTATTCAGAAACACAAATCACACTGTGGCTCTTTCACAAGAAGTCTGAAGCACGTTTCCTCTTAGGACATCTCTGGATAACAAAATCATTTCTTTCAATCAGGGAATTATGCGCATGATGGTGACAAAGTAGGCTTTGCATCTGTTTACATACTCATAGTTACTGCAACAAAAGTCTCCTGGCATTATGCACTAGAAATTGACTTCTGCAAAGTTTTAGAGTTAGTGTTATCAATCATCTCAATAAGTGGTGCTAAAACCCAAACAATCCTAAGAAAATGAAGTTTTTTCAAACTAGGGTATGACCTAGAAGTTTCTTTTCTTATGATTAAATTGCAATTTGCTAACAACCAGAAGAGGCTTTTTCTATAGCTCTGAAAAGGTTTTCCTAATGTCAAGTGATATCATCTTTCCAGATAAAGGCCAAACAGATTCACAGCACACACGACTTTAAATTGTCACAAAGAAGAAAAAAGAAATAAGACTTCTTGTAGCTTGAAATATTTCTAACATTTTAACCATTTCACTTGTTTTTAAACAGCACTGGGTTTTGTACTGCTTCTGATCTGATTGATTCTAAAACTAGAATTGATGCTAGAAAGGAGAGATAACAGCGATAGGCAGAACACAGGCACAGAAGGAACAAAACAGCCATCCACCTCCTCCTAAGGCCAGCCACCATACAAAGGTCACAAAACAGACTCCTTTAGTCACTGCTAGAAAAGAAAACAGCATTTGATGATGCTTAAATCAGGCAGTATACATTACTGCACTGGATCTAACCCTGCTTTATCTGAAGTCAAAGTAGAACATTAAAAGATAGACGTTTAGAAATAAAAGAACAGCTTCTGTTGGTTTACTCGCTATGATAGTATTTTCCAAGGCTTGACACTGCAAGTTGCTGAGCATTCTGGCTCCAATTCATTGAAACACAGCTACATGGTTACGTGAGAACAGTTCAAGTGAGGCAGACACACAAGTGCTGATTTTTGGCCAAAAAACTCAGCCCCTGATCTGACAGAGCTCCAGTTCCCCAGTTAGAAAATGTGTGATCATTAACATCCCCTATTCCCCAGAGCTACTGAAAGAGCACTACAAAGCAAAGATCAGAAAGATGGCAAGTCTGGATAACAACTGCTGGGAATCATAGCACATAACTTCTCTCTGCTTTTGTACACAGGTCTTGCTGGTCTATAACAAAAGCAGAGCTGCATAAGTCTACTTCAGCATCCGTTCACTCTACATCATGCAACATAAAAATTGCTGAGTTTAAGAAGAAAAGTTCCCTGTGTAAATTGGCAAGATTTCAGCGTTAGCCTTACTTATAGAGCACAACTGCTCTTTGGAGCCAGTTACTGCTATCTTCTTCATTATTCGTGCCAAGAAGGAAAGAGTGCAATCCCTCTCTTCCACACAGCGGTACAGACATTCACTCACGCAAGGCAGAAAAAGAAGCCACAATATATGACAGTGCATTGTGGTAGTACAAACAGTGTCTGCCTGAGTAAGACTGCCTTTACAAGGAGTAGGTGCAAATACATCACATTAAGAACAGTGCAAAGCAAGTACTAGATCCACAGGAACTGCGTGCTTTAAACTGTAGTAGCAATAGTAGGTGTTGGAATTATGTTTGAAACCTGAAATGTAATAGCTTAGAAGTCACTTCATAAATAATGCTGTTAAAATATTTACACATGCACAAATCACGAGAACAGATCACAATCTGGATTACTGGCTGACACTAAGTTAAACAGTGCTCTTATCATGGCACTATTCTGCATATTACCCTAAATACCTTGGAATGCTGCTGCCTCTTTTCTCATTAAGAGACATAAAAGCTTATATGATCTCAGAATCACAGAATTGAACGATCTCCTTTGGATGGAGGCCGCCCTGCTAGTTCCCCTTTCCTTTACCAACGAATGCCTTCCCTAACAACCCCGGGCACCATGAAAAAAAAAATCTTTCTGCAGTCTAATTTAACACTAGAGCAAGCAAAATAGTGCAGGCTAAAGAAACTTATGCTATCTGTTTCATAGCACACAGGGTTGTATCACTCTTGATGGAGAACACACTGACACACACAGATGGGGGTGGTAGAGGCAGTTCTAAGAAGGGAACAACACCATTGAACGTTAATTTTCAACTGCATTTCTACTACCTCTACAGAGCAACATTTGATTGCCAAATCATTCTGGTGTATTTTTATCTTACTAAGCTACATAACAACTCCTGGATCCAGCTTGTTTTGTTCTTGTTCCAGCGATGATATCTAGCGTACTAAGATTACGTAGGCAGCTTCTTTATATTTCAGTGCTTAGAAGTTTGTCACTTGAAAATGTTTCACACACAATCCAGAAGTCTGACTTCTGAACAGGAGGAAAGTTTACCATATATTTTTCACATAGGTTTATCAAAAAGGCCATTAATAACAGTAAAGAGCTCATGTTCTGATCTCTGCTATTAACATCCACTTACGCTGGAACACAAACTCTACACCTTCTCAGAAAGAATACCCCAACAAATTCTCAGGTAAGAGTGGAAAGCAGCTGCATTTCAACATTTTAACAACTGTTTTTGTTTTTGTTAAGAGGGAGGAGCTCTTCTGCACTTCTGATGACCCACATGAAACTGCAAATTTCTTCTACGTACAGTACACCAAATTTAAAGAAACAAGAGGTATGAAATTCTGTTCATTCTGTTTCCCCAAAAATGAACACTTGCTACTCACTCTTTCTTTTGACGTTCCTATTACCACATTGGACAGTCTGTTTTCAAAAAGGTCTTCGGTCTTTAAATTGCCAGCAGCCCCAGGTAATGGAGGAAAGCTAGATAAACCCAATTCGAAGCTAGGAGATGGAGGTTTTGGGGGTGGTGGAGACTGTGTTTGGCCTCTCTGGAATAGAAATAACATGCTGAGGTTACCACAATGGATTACAGACAGGAAGGACATAGGACTCAATGACATTTTGCACTTGATATATATCTGCAAGGCCCTAAAGAGGCCCATCCCGCCTCACTTCCCAAGAAAATCACACAGTATCCAGAAATTCATCTTCCACTGGTGCTCTTAAAATACTTCATTATATTTTAAGTGGGATGGTCTAGAAGCCTTAGAAATTTCAAATGCTTCCGCTTTAGCGCTACTGGCATAGTTAAGGCTTCTTCCTGATGCTTCCTTCAAGACAGATGCTATACTGACACAGGAAAATAGATTGCGTTGGCTACCATGACAAAATGAAAATATCAAGTCCATTTATGTGCAGTTGGTAGTTTTCTAGAAGAAAGACAAGAGTTGAGAGAATCTTAATCATGTTTAGATACGCTAAGAAAGGGCAAGATAGCATGCTTTGTCTGTAGTGCAGATGAAGACAATTTTCATCCAATTTCATCAATATGAAAAATGCAAACACAAGCATAAAATTATTTTTGAAGCACAGAATTATTCTAACTAGATCTAAGAGCAAGAACAACATCCCAGACAAATACATTATTGGATTAAAACGTGCACTACTTACAGGTGTTAGAGTTAAATGAGTATCATAGGCAAAAGTCCACTTACGAAGACTGCTTGCAAGGATTTGTATCTGTTATCTACATTGAAAAACTAAAATTCCTTGTTATGTGCTTTAACTGAAGTTACCCATTAACTTTGTCTATGCCACTCAACCAAAAAACAGTGTCCCAACTGTACTAATACCTCTCTTTCAGAACAACAAATGCAAAGTGATCTTTAAGATGATTCTTATCTTGAGATGGAAAACAGTTACTGGTACATTGCTAATATGGTCAGAATGTGAGAACAGTACTTCTGAACACGGAATAGGAAAGATGTTGCATTACTTTCTTTCTGTGCTCTTCCTTTTCATAAAGAGCAATAAAGATACAAAACTACCCTCAAGATCCCATCTCATACTACATTTTACGTCGGAAGAAACGTGAGTCATTCAGAAATAGGGAAAGAATACAGACAGAGGTAAGAACAACAGCAACTCTCAAAGTTGCTACTGACTGAGCATCTCCCTCACAACATGGATTTTAAGCATTACAGCAACGAAGGCTGCAAGCCTTGCAAATGAGAATTCAGATAACCATGAAAGGGTTGTGGAGAGAAACTTGTTTTCCTTGCTCAAATCTAATTTTTCCTTTATAGAACAGTATTTCAAATCACAGCACTTCATTTTCTTAAACAGGACTGAAGTCCTGCAATTAATACTATTTCTAGATACTTCTAAATAGACACTCCTGAAAAGACAAATTAAGAGAGAGTAGCCAGGATATATGAATGACTTGAATTAGAGGGACCAGGGAAAACTTAAACATAAGTTAGGCTGCCACTTGTATAAAATTCTGAAGCTGACTTAACACAAGTAGCTGTCTTACATCTATGGCCTCAGATACAAACTGATCAAGAAGATTCATGCACTTTCTCAAGCAAGCATGCAATCCACCTCAAGTGCTCTCTATAAATGAGAAGCAGCCATAATTCCTTTCAAATAGAACTCATTGCAGTGGTCCTTCATACTAACCACTCCACACAAAACAGTATCCTAGATTCAACTGCTTCTACAGCTGGAATGGGACAAACCTCAATCTCTTACTTCAGAATTCGCTACCTACCAGCATTCACAGCTGTGTTCAGCTGCTCTCATCTCTACTGAAGGTCTATTTTTGGACACCACAGACTAAAGTTTTGTTGGCCAAAAGACTAGAGTGAACATGACTACACAGGCTGCAGTTAAAAGTCTGCTGCTGAGAAAAGGGAACTGTAGGTCTCCAAAGAAATCATGATTTCAGTTTTAAAAGGTGTTTTAACCTTATATTTAGAGGCAGTCGATTACAAAGAGCCACTCTGTTCACTAACTGTCCTAGGTAATCCTTTCTCTTTCTATTCATTTCTGTGTCATTCCTGTACTACTTCCTTATTCTTTCAGAGGAAAAAAAAAAAAAAAACGGGGGGAGGAAGTTGATAGAAAAAGCATCGAGTAGCCCTGAAAGCACAGAAAAAAATAGGTACTGATAACCCCACGTGTAATCTGATCTCACTAGCTTTAACAAGTTTGTCGGGAGCCAAAGGAACCATTTGCCCTTTCATACTTTCTAGAGCCCCAATGTTTCTTTCATCCACGTCCCACTAAGCTACACAACAGCAGGAGGCACCAATACATAATGCAACTGTTCCAGACCTCTGAGATACAGTCAGAGCTCATGAAGTGATGTTACTTTGAAACTGTAGTATCAATAATAAAATAATCCAGTAAGACTTCATGAAGTCTTAACATGTGTAAAGAACTAAATCCTACAAAATTTTTTTTCTTCTTCTATCCACTACCCAAACCAGCCTTTACAAGCATCAAAACTATTTAGGTATTCATCTTGAATTTAAGTTCACAGAAATTGTAGTATTTCAAGCATTAGTGATCCTGAACATCTCTGTGCCAATTATGTAAGGAAAAATCTACCTCACACACTCCAAAAACAACAAAGATGACAACGTGATTCCCAAAAAAAACAACCTTTTGTCCACATTGCAAGGGGAACTAGATTTTTCTCCTCAGAGTTGGGATAGAAAGGGAGAAAGCAAGGAAGAGGTGTTAGATTTAACAAACACAATTGACCACTTCATAACTAATAGTCTAGCTATGCATTCCATGACCTGACCTATAAAATATTTTTCATGATCTCCATGAATGAGAGTCAAATCTCAAGTGTTCCAAACTTCGTGTACTTGGCGCTCTGCGAATGTGAACAGTCAAACTGACAAAACAACAGGAAGGAATGATGAAAGGGCAATTTTAGTTCTGTCCCTTAATTCCACAAGTCAGGAAAATAATCTCTGATATCCAAATGCAGTAAATTCATGTGAATTTAATGAGCTGCTATCTTCAGTCACGTAGCTCTTGGGCAGCAGTTTATCTCATCTGCTATTCCATATAGTGTCCATAATATTGCCTTGTTACCCTGCACTTGAATTATAGTTGAATACAATCATGAAAACTCACTGTGAACTTGTCCTCCCTTTTCTTTCGGTAGCCGTATGAGTTTTTCCTAAGGGAAAGAAAACTGTTATCAGAACCTTGCCTTTATGTGAGTAGAAAACAGGAGAAATTAGTTCTAATTATAATCTCATTCACCTTTGTTCTAGAGGAAAACAACAACTTTATTTTAAAATGTTTTAGGTAAAGATTTCTAGCAAGCTCATTAATATAAATATATACAGATTTCTATCATGTTCGTGTCAGGATACACTGCTGAGCTAAAAGTATAACTCCGTATCAACTGCACAGAACCCCCCACTTAATTTTACATTAACAGAAGTCTAACACCGGATCATCTGCAAATGACTCTTCCAATTCAGTGACTCAGAATTAGACAAAAAGCACAGCCAACCCTAAGCAACGTTGCACAGAACTGCAGTGTATTTCAAAAAAACCTGAAGACAGACCTGATAACTCCTCAAAATTGCTGCTACCAATTTTCAACTCCCCTGCTTTCTGCTCCTGCTTCACCCTCTGCTCCAAACTGCCTAACAATACGTTTTGCTAACTGCACGTAATCCTTTTTCCTCCCTTCATACTGATCTATATCTTTGATGTTGTGAACATCTAATACGGGCAAAATTCCAGTCTTTTAACTGGAAGTATTAACAGCAAGCCGCAGTGAGCAAAGAAATGGCCAAACTGCTTCAAAGTCAAACAATATGTTAAGAACTTAATTAAAATAGACAATAAAGGTATAGAGAATTAGGTGTATGGGTGTAAATAGTTCAACAGGTGCCATTAGTGGTAGGAAAGTATGCAGTTCCACTTTGCATTTGCTCTGTATTTAGGACTTCCTCTGAAATGCTTGACAAAATTTTAGCTTTAAGGGCAGCCAGTCTCAGATTAAAATGAGAACAGTATTAATACCATTCTTTACTAAAAGCAGCAGCAATGACAGCGTACTTCAGAAGACAACTACAGGGTACACTCACCTTCCTCGACCTAAACCAGGAGACGAGTCAACGCTGCTCTGCTCCATCCGCCCAGTTCCTACTTCCCTCTTGGTGTAACTCGTGGTAGCACTCTGCATCCGTGTCCTGTTTTGTCCTGGCTGCCGCGTCTGTGGACTCCTGACGCCATTGATTAAACGATCAGCAGAAAAGTTGAATATGGTAGGACTGTCTAGAAGCCCAGGTCCCCTTTCTGCACTGGGTATTGTATGTCGTATATGGGACTTGCTAGGATTCCTACAAATTCAAAAGTCATTTCAACATACACACTATGATAGATCTTCTGAGGCCTAAGTCTACACACAGAATTCAGAAGAAGCAAAACTGCCAGCCCTCTGTAGTATATTTCAGTTATAAGAATGACCAATGCTCATTTTAACAGGCCTTGTGAACTATTACGTTAACTTTTTCATTGTATTTTCAACTATGGCGTAACTAAAAACTATTTGAAACTGAAAATGCCAAATTAATAATCCTGCTGGTCACTTGCTATTGTTCAGAATTATTTTATCTGAATATGTTAAAATGTGGACAGACAAGTTCCCAGCTTTCAGCTCTATTTTCACCTAGAAACAGCACCCTTACTAACAGTAGCAAAATCATCTGGCTTCTGGCATCACTTAACCTTGCATCAAGCTCACTTTTACAAGTATTTTCTAGTTAGATGGCATTTCTAAAATGAGCAGATTAAAGCCTCACATGCCAGGTAATTCAGCAGTATGTGTAGTGTTAAAAGATAGTTGTACTTGCCTGTTCCTGGGAGGGTACTGTCTGAGTGTAGTCAGAGGAGAAGCAGCAGGTTTGAAGGTTGGAGATGTGAACCCATTGATAAATCCAGTATTTGGAAATGGCGTTACCTAAAAAATAAATACATAAATAAATAAATTCAGCACAAGCTTATTATCAAAGTAAACTATTTTGTCTTAAACTTTTATTTTATACCCTTTCACACAGACAAGTGTTTATTAGAATGCCTCCAGCAGCAATAGAGCATTTGCCCAGTGCCTTGTAACTAAATGATGTGTTGTCTGAGAACACTGCCACTGCACACATTCCAAGTCCGATTTGCTTGAACACAGAAAAATGCTGAGCCAAAACTGTCAATTGTAAGTAACACTCCTATTTCATACTACACTGTGAAGCACATCCCTTCTCTAATATGCATCTGCAAGTATTTCTTATCTACATGCAAAATATTCCTTAACATGAACCTTCTCCATCAGTTACTCACTCTAGTTACCTTTCACATGACACCTATATAAAGCCAAGAGAGCAAGTGAATGTTACGTGCACCTGATATTCTTTACTTTGTACCACTTTAGTCCACATGTGATTCACTGTCTTGTTCCCAGAAAAAAAAGCATTACTAAAGATTTGCTGGGGGTGGGTACAAGCCAACATCTCATACTGACAAGATAGCTCAGTTTTATCACGTTCATAGTAATCTCACCAATCTCACTAGCACACTCTTTTGTTTCAAGTCTAAATGAAATGTACTCAAATATTACTGTAGTAAAGCAATTGCTTGCCATCATCTTCTCTCCACATAAATAAAATGCAGAACACTAAGACTACACTTTTAATTAATGTTTACATCTTGCTCTGGGATGAACTTCAATACAGTACCTTCTAAATATAATTAAATGATGACAGAGACTACATCTAAAACAGCTGGCACTCAGTTTCCTAAAACAGATCCCAAAGCTAATTCAACCTTTATTGAAACAGGTGGAAAAAATCACTAATCAATGGAAACAAAAATTACACACCAAAGCTTCCATCCCAAACCACTGCTTGCCTAACCTATGGCAGCAAGCACAACCTTACATTCCAAAAACTGGCACTTAGGAGTTTAATGAAAGAACTAAGTTTTATCAAAATATTGATTTGAAGTGGTTCCTGCTTTGATATTTACAACTTGAACACTGTAAAATTCACATGAAGTAAGCAAACAGCTACTGAAAGAGAATGGTGAAAAAGCACTGAATGCAGAAAAGGAAAATAAGTTTAAGTCATTGCTTCAAGTGACACAAGCAATAGACATTCTTTCTTTCTTTAGAAGGACAAATGATCTTTTTGAAGAGAAAATGTTCATTTTCCAACAATACCAAAAGTGTTAATCTGCTTTCTGCACAAAAGTCACTCAATTCCTCATACGTACCCCTGTTTTTACAAGTAGTACAACGTAGCTTTTTCTTCAAATGCCATTAAGTAGTTTATGAAGTAGTACGTAGTTTTCAAATTTGGAAGCCATGTTGCCATATTCTAGTTTCAGAATTAAAACTATTTCCATGAATTGAATCTCAAATTAGAGATGAGGAAGTACTGTCATGGCATTTATGATGAAGTAGAAGAGCATGGAAATTTATGGTATGTGTGAGCACAAGTCTATATGCAAACTGCAATCTTATCTCGTAAATTATTGCAAGTGTCATGGTTCCTCTTGGTCCCTATTCTCCTCACAAGTAATTTATTCTTATATATAGCTCTTTCTTATTGGTGTAAAATCACCACAGAGGTTCAAGAGAGATCACACTAAATCCGTGTACACAAAACGCAGCCAGAGAGAAATGCATCCAACTAAGGACAATATGCTGAAACAACAGAACACAATGCTCTGTTAGTTAGTTCTCTATTTTTACTAAGAAAGGTATCAGATCTTCTGTACTGGCAACCCTTCAGTCTTCTCCCAAAAGCCAGAAGTATTAAGCTTTTTGAGTTCCAGGATGACATTGTATTCAGCATTGACTGTATTCAGCACTGGTGAGGCCGCACCTCGAGTACTGTGTCCAGTTTTGGGCCCCTCACTGCAAGAAAGATATTGAGGCCCTGGAACGTGTTCAAAGGAGGGCAACAAAGCTGGTGAAGGGTCTGGAACACAGGCCATATGAGGAGAGGCTGAAGGAGCTGGGAATGTTCAGCCTGGAGAAGAGGAGGCTCAGGGGAGACCTCATTGCTCTCTATAACTTCCTGAAGGGAGGCTGTAGTGAGCTGGGGGTCGGCCTCTTCTCTCGTGTCATTAGTGATAGGACCAGGGGGAATGGCTTCAAGCTATGGCAGGGGAGATTCAGGCTGGACATGAGGAAGTATTACTTTTCAGAAAGGGTGGTCAGGCACTGGAACGGACTGCCCAGGGAGGTGGTGGAGTCACCGACCCTGGGGGTGTTCAAGGAAAGACTGGATGTTGTGTTGAGGGACATGGTTTAGTAGGAGCTATTGGGAATAGGTGAACGGTTGGACTGGATGATCTTTTAGGTCTTTTCCAACCTTGGTGATTCTATGATTCTATGACATAAGGCAGATACACACAGTGTTGTGCTTGAACCTGTGGCCAGTTAATCTACATCTGCTGCATCAGTGCCATCTGATTATTCCAGTATCTCACAGCAAAAAACAGTAGCCAATCCTAGCATTTCTAGTGGAAAAACTGCATTCATTTTAGTTGCTCCTTAATAAGGTGGCTGTCTCTTGAAAAAACAGAGTTCACTACACTGCTTTGTCTCCTCCACATTCTTTATGCCCCTTACAAAGCCTTCCCCTGCAAGGGCTCTGGCTGCCTCTCTTATATGTGAAGTGTTCAGCACACCAACTTTTTAATTAGTTTGCTGTTCAGTACACAGGAAGTTTGCTCAAGTTTGTTCAAGGACACTTTAATCCTCTGCCAAAAACCTCAAAAAAAGCTTCTAATTTTGAGCATTGCTACCCTAGTTTCTTTTAGCTGCAAGCAAAGAGGCACTGATGGAAGGGACAAATGGGTTCCAATACAGAACAACCTTAGTCCTCAAGTAATTAACTGAAAATCATATTCATAGTAGTTTTCACAGGATGACGAAGGAAAATGAGGAACAGTGAAAACTGTTACAATGCAAAGCAACACTGCAGGACGCACTAGATGCCTCAACAGAATGTGTAGAAGGACTTACAGCTACTGCTCTAGCTCTAAGCGTCACGACTTTAAGGAATTTCAATTAAAAATATTAACCAGTTTTAATTTTTTTTTTTTAATAACAAAAATGGTTTGATATTTTATTGCGAAAGAAAAGAAAACAAAACATCCCATGAAGTATTTTGACTCAATAACATGTCAGATGGGGCAATTTAGCAGGTTAAGCTAGACCAAGATGTTATACTATCCCCACTTACGTTATTATATTACATTTATTCAGTACATACCAGAACTTTGACAATCACACACCTATTCTAGTTCCAGCTAAAGAAGTTTTTTAAACCATTACAGAAATTTTTTACTTAGCCATTACCAAAAGAAAGCTTTGTGAATCTCTCAAAATAACTTCTACGTCAAAAACCAAAAAGTGAAGAAGAGAACCATAGTTCCAATTGGAGACCAGACGCTGTTCTCAATTATTCCTGTATGCCCTGGGAAGAAATCTGAATAACTGCTTTTCAACAAGAATCTGCAGCTTGGTCTCACTTTCAGGATACACATGCTTCCCAGACCACACCTCGAAACTTCACAACAAAAATACCAACTCTGAGCAGAACTCTGAGCTCTTCTGTAAGCAAGAGACTTACCAATGAAGGGTCAAGGTAGCTGTGCGTGGTTGACCAGGTCTGTGGAGCAATTAAACTGTACAATGGAAACTGCTGTTGGGGACTGTATACTGGAGGTAAGTAAAAGGATGTTGTGTAACGCTGCTGCGTGTAGATGTTCATATCCAGAGGTCTATATCCATTCTTTGGCAAAAATGTGTTTATAGCTATTGCCTTTGCTTTTATCCTTGCCTGCAAAGGAGATTAGATTATTTATTACAGCAACTTTTCAGATTTAATCAGGATGGTTCAAACTAGCAGATCTCAAACTTGACACTTGTCAGTCATTGCTTTCTCCTTCAAGGAAGGCAGGAACAGCTGAATGCTTCCCTGCTGATGCTGGGTTGAACATACTGCTGCCAGAAAGGAGGAAAAGGAGAAGTATAATAGCATGCACCACATTTCAAAACCAATCTCCAGGTCAAACATTTGTGAGATTGGACCACCTTAATACATAATAGAAAACATGAAGTGGAACCCCACAAAACACAGAACGTGCGCACAAAAATAAAATAAAGCTCTATTTACCTTAATGGGTTTTCCTTGGAAAGTTTTCACTTCTTCTCTAAGGTATCTGTAAGCCTTTAAAAAGTCATTGCAAAATTTGTCAAATATAATTTAAACAAAGGCAAGTAAGTTTTGACAGGCTAAGCCAAACAATAATTCTTGAAGTGTCTGTTAATGTTAGACTACAGAAAACCCTCATATTTAATCTGCATTTAGTGAGATTTAATTTATCATGGCAGAAGTGCTTCAGTAGCCTTAAAACAAGATTTTCAGTCTTACAAATAAAGCATTTCAGTGCGTCATCTAAAATATCAATGCTCTTAGCACATAAAATTATAGCTTTGGCCAGGAAGCCAGGATATGCAAACAAGATAAAATTTAAAGGGTTATATTTAATAATGCTGATAACTGAGTATTAGCTAACGGGAAGCATTAATGTTTAAAGGATTTTTTTTTTTTTTCTTTCTTTTAAGAGTTCTTACACATTTGTAATACAGCTTACAACCCAGTTTAATTCTCCCTTCGTTTCACCCATTTTCTGTTATATTCTAAAATGCACAAAAAAAAGCATTACCTGCTGTGCATCGGCTTCTGATTCAAATGTGATGAACCAGTTGTCATTATAGGCAAACTCACAGTTGATAAACTTAGGCAAATTATCACCTTTGAAAAGTGCTTCAACCTCCTAAGGAAAGAGGTTTTGACAGAAAGAAAGAGAAGCGCGTGAAGGAAAATAAAGTAGAAAAAAACAGCAGTTTAAAGTACAAAATCCTAGAATTCCTTGTAAGTACTTTTCAGCTTATGAAACAGGAATTGAGGAGAACAATTGCTCTGAAGTTTGAATGTTAACTTTCTAAGCTCCCCATTAGGTAGGGGAAATAAAAACAAGCACTGCCTAGGACATGTCACAAGCAGAAGTTGCTTGCTCCCTTGAGATCAGGGTGGATAAGTTATTAGGCAAATGAGAGAGACTGAAATTTGGCATCAAGCGCAGATTCTTCTGAATAGCTGTTCTATCTTCCCTGTCACTACCAGCTAAAACCACTTCTTGGCCGCTCTTGTGAGGCACCCTCACAAAGCGTCCCTCAAGTGAATGATATTTCCCTTGTCTACAAATCCATGGAATCGCACAAAAACCTGCCCATATTGCACAGGATAAGAGATTGCTGCCCCTTCGGCAGAAACTTGGATGCTCACTTTAACTCAAGTGGCTACAGATGAGTGTATCTGAGAGCAGTACTTACATTACCTGAAAAAATAAAGTGCTAATTTCTATATTAAAAATACATCTTAGACTTCTTAAAATTATTTCACATACCATTCATTTTTGTCACCAAATCAAGCAGCATCAAAAAGCAATGCAGGCTGGGAGGACCTGCAGTTTGTTGGAACACTGCTGCCTAAATAAAGCCTGCCCATGCTCCATGCTAAGTCAGAAAACATATCCCATTAAGTTTGAATGATTAAATCTAAAATTGTCAGACTGGAAAATCTAAACACAGTAAAATAAATACCTAAAATAACTCCTCAAGACCACCTATTTTGAAAATGAAGAATTCTCAGAACTTTGCTAGTATTTTACTTGTAAGCATTTCAGAAAGACTCCTAAATGCTAGTATATCCAACATGATAAACCAGTGACAGCAAGAAAAGCAATCTAAGATATTAAAAGCGAGGCAGTGTTTGAAAGGCTAAATTTCATTTAGAAATTTCAAAGCAACATATATAATACATCTGACTGCTTCCCTCTGATTCCTTTTAGCATCTTGTTTTACACCTCTGTATATTAAGGCCACTTACCTTACTGTAAATTTTTCATGTAGCAGTACTACTTATACTTTCAAAGAACCCACCTCACTACTCTTATACTAGCTCCATAAGCTAGCAGGGATCATTAGCAACCTGCTTGCACCTTTACCTTCAGCATTATAGAAACACCTGCAAAGCTTCTTAGTACTTTATTCTGAAGAGATGTAGCAATGATGTTTTCCATTGTAAGTCATATCTTTCCTCGTTTCTGTTTGCTATTTATCCAAGTAGCTTAGAGTTCAGTGTGTACAAAGAAGCCAGAGTGCGAGAAAATAATGCTCATCTCTCCTGAACACAGCCACGTCAATTAATTCAGCCCCCTTTAGAGCTACAGATTCTACCGCAGTCTTCCTACGAGTGACATGCTTCTGTCAAATACCTGCTATCCAAACAGTCACTACTAAGACTTAGAAATCCAGTTAATAGTTAAGAAACGTAAGAAACATAATATTCTTATTGAAAGATGGGGGAAAAAAAATTAACTTCCAAATCTGAAATGAGAAGGATTCCTTATTGAACAGTTACTCACTTCAATGGGGGTAGATTCAGGAACTTCACGTAAAATCACAATACAGCGATTCTGATTTGGCCTAACTTTCTCTCCCTTCTCATCCACTTGGACTAAAGGCAACGCTAAGAGAAAAAAGAAACATACTTCAGCTGTCAGCAATCATAACAACAAGGCACAAAGGACGAAGCAGTGGCATAGTTTTACAGTACACACTTGTTAGCACTGAATATTTTTGAACATTTAACATTAAAAAATTGAAGATAACTGATATTTTCAAATACAAAATTGAACAAACATTCCTTAAACTCTTCAAACCCTTTCTGGTCTTTCAGATTAAGAAATCCCAATTCACTAGCTATTCCTTTTAAGCTGCACATCAAGTCTTGCTCTATCTTGATTCCTACCTTACTGGTAACATCCAGTTTCTTTTTCTAAGAAATAAAATTCATTTTATTCTTATTTACATACATCATTATTTCATATGCAAAGATCTCACTGTGTGATGATCTAAACTTGAAGATGCTTACTCTATTTAAAGCTTTACAGAAAAAGGATAATTTGACTGTAATGTGACAAACAACAAAAAGATACTGAAAATCTAATAGAGTCCTACAGCAATAACCAAAATGCTTTCTAGTACTGAGCAATTTTTACTTACATCTCAGCACTTCAACAATCAAATCCATATCAGTACTGAGTTTCTTGACGTGATCAAGGTTTGCTACTGTCATTATTGGCACATACTGGTCACTGTCCATCTGTGATATAAGGTACATGTCACTGGCAAGATTTTCTCTGTTGGGAGAAAAAAAAAAAAATGGGGACATGTCGTAGACATAACTTTTCCTGATCTGTAATGAACTTGAGACAACAGCTCAGTATCACAAAGTAGAAGGCAGACTCCTGCAGTAAGTTGTATTTTCAGTGTTTTCACCCATTCCCCAGCCCATTCACTTACCATGTTCATTTGCTCTGCCTCACAGAAACCACGAAAGTGGCATTTTGTCTCCCCCTTCACGCCTCAGTATCAACATCTTCCTGGTCAGGCAGCACTTTACCACTTTACACTTTACGAAGCACTAAAGCATTTATTGCTTCAAACGACTACTGGGCATAAATGATGATGCAGCAGAACACAGATTAGGAATTGTTCTGTTTTACTAAAACAAGTGTTCAGGATTTATTATTATTATTATTATTTTTAACTATGATACAAGCTCTGAGAACAGTTAATTACACATGAACTGCTCTGATGAGCTTGCAGCCTACACTAGAATGTGTATTATTTAGAACCCTTAACTTTTTTAGCTGACCTCACCTTAAAGGAACCTACATGCACAAAAATGCTAGTTTGTATCAATGCAAATTTTAAAAGGTTAGCTTACACAAAGCTCAAATGCATTAAGCTACTCACTTTTAATTTGCAAAAGGAACCCAGTAACAGTTGTACAAGCACTTAGAGATCACATGAATTTTAAGAACTACTTCAAAGCAGTACATTTACTAGCTTACGTTTTAGGCCAAAAAGAGCTCTGAGAGGTATATCAAATATGATATTTTGGAATATTTGTGCCAGTTTCTTCAAATTCTCATCCTTTCCCCACAGTTTTAATTGGTTGCTGTGAAATTCATTAATATACATGCCAAATTAGGTATGGGATCTTGTTAGTCATCCACTCATTTGCTACATTCATACATACCTAGATAAGCAAAATTCCAGTGTTTTTTTCAGTAATTCTCGTAGATCTTCCTGACCTTCTGGCAGCAATTGTTCATTTCCACCTGAAGTTTAATAAAATTTTAAAGTTTTCTAATTTGAAACGGCTTTAGAAGAGCAGCTTCAAACAAGTCAGGAAACAGTGAACTCACTTAACTCACATCCGTTTTTCAGTCTTACTAAACTAACCAGTTCCTAGCTGATTAAATCCAAGAAAACAGCAAGCAAGCAATGCAAATGCAAATCTTTTCTCAATCTCAGCCTTGCTCTAAATTCCTAATACACTAATTCAGGAAAGTTGGTTTCACATATGTAATTATGAAATATTAACAGTTGTGATCAACAGAAACACCCAACGTATTTTCTTCTTCCTCACCTCTCATCTTAGTTCAAATAGTAATCCTACATGCATCTAGCAGACCTTCTGTCCCATGAAATATAAGCAGTTTAATCCTCACACTGGTCTCCAGAAGTTTCTTAAGACATACCTTCTGGTGTAGACTACAACTGCTAACAACTGTACTGAATCAGGGAAGTCAAAGAAATTAGATTAAGTTGTTGCTTATGTTAGAGTTTTAACAACAAGACTCATCTTTAATTCACCACATTAATATTTGTGAAAGTATTACATGAATTTGACCTCTGTGCCTGACCCAAATATGAAGCATGAAGCTTAGGTATGTAGATATCTCAACATAAATACACTAAGGACCTGCATTCAAAATAACATTTCAGCAGACAGAAATGAGTTACATCCAACAGTTACAACAGTTTCTGTTCAGTAGCTCACGAGGCCAATTTTGTGGAAAAATATGGTTTTTAAACATGTTTAAGTTCAGAGCAAAAAAACAGATGCTTCCTGTTACCTGTCTGAGCGGTTTCGTGCATAGACTCATACTCAGAATGATCAAGAGCCAAAGAGTTCATATCTGTCTGGTCTGACACCAAAACAGCTGGCGATGACTCCTGCAGCTCTGTCAGCACCGCATTCTGATGCTTTTTGTCGCCATCTCCTTTAGCATCCAGTCCTGCAAAGGAGATCACAGAGGTAACACACACTTTCAAAAAGTCCTCTTCTGATCACATCATCATGCGAGTAGTTGAAACCAGATCTGAAGTGCTAAGAGTCGCCTGCATGGTTGTATTTATTTTTTTTTAAATACGAAATTGGAAAGGTTCTGCACTGAATTTTAACTCTTGCTTGAGCAACAGCTAAAGACAATATGATTTTTACCTTCTTTACATGAATCTGGAGGCTGGTCAGGTATTTCTTCCCACGTTTTGTTCACACTACCATCAGTGGCACCACTTGCTTCCAAATGTAACATATGATTTCCCCACACCTTTGCATTAGGATTTAACTCAGAAACTTTGGCTGACTCCTACAAAAGAAATTTTTTTTTTTGTTATACTCTTCAAGGATACATAGCACATACCTGTGCACTTATATGTACATAGCTACAAAGAACAGTATCAGATGTACATCTCAATATAGTAACATGAGGTTTTTTTTTTACATCTGAGTATACTGACTGAAGTCCAATAGTGATCTTAGGTACAAAAGTAACTAAACTGTACAGAACAGAATTCAGAATTTCTCAGATTACGAAAGACCAGAAAAGATTAGCCAAGCAGCAAACAAGCACTCATTTTTTGCTTCTGACAACCTAACACAACTTGTACTTGCCTCGTACTTGTACTAGACTTTAGGCAGTTCTCCAATATACATTAACACTGACTGGTTTCATTCTGTTTCTGCAAAAGAACACTTAAAGAAAATATAAAACTATGCTTGTTCTCCCTTTAGACTCAGTCATCTGCAAGAGTTTTAAGGAAGTATTAGGTAAAATTGAGTGCAATCAGACATACGTGACTAGTATTGTTATTTACAGAAATAAGCAGTGTTAACAAAAAATTAGAGTAATTTTTTTACCCTGATAGGACAAAAGGAATCAGTTAACAGTTTCAGTTAAATTGTTTGGATCTACCTTTTTTTGACATGGACTAGAAGTAGTTAAACTTAATGGAAACTAACATATGTTGATATATAATCATTATATACGGTTATATTTGCACTTCAGAGACTGTTCTCTGCAGTGCCAGCAACTACAGTGCTTCCATCAATAGCACAAGACAGTTTTGCCTTGTTTTGCTACTGCTGAAGCAAGATGCATGATGTTATTCCATGTTCATGTCTTTGGCATGCATTAATATGATTACTGTGTTGAGAAAGAGCATTGCTCACGAAATCAGACACTATTTATACTTCCATTTGTTTAGTGTATTAAGGGATGCTTCAAAAGTTACCTAGTTCAAGACGAGCATTTTGTACGTACATGAAGCTTTGATTATTCCAAACATTCACATCCAGGTAAGTTATTATAGTGGAAAACATACCCAAAAGGTTTTTTAAAAAAATAAAAAATAGAGATCCAAGGAGAGAGATCTCAAACACACGTACTGTGGAAAAGGGGCTGGTAAAATGTGGAAAACATGCTGGACACTGGTACTTTCATAGTAAGGATTCAAAGATGGCAGCAAGTGCTACTAGTTTCCATTTTATTAAATGCAAAAAGCTTCCCTGGAAGATGAACTTAGGCGGTAGCGAGATCTGCTCCTGGCACTTCAATTGCTGGGCAAGGTCAGAGCAGCTGCTGTAACACGGTCACTGCAGAGAACAAGACTAAGCAGTGGCTCTGCCCAAAGGCAGAGGGTGAAGAGCAGCAGCTGCCACAGGTCAGGTTTGTTTCTTTCTTAACCCAAGTAGCCAAGATGCAGTCTTGCTCATCTCCAATGCTTCTCCTGTAGCCATCTGTTTCTTCAGCACTTTGGAAAAAGATCTCCAGAAGTGAGCAAAAGGTTTTCTAACTGCTATCAAACAAGAACTTCAAGACTTCAGGAAATCCACATTTTTTTCCAATACAAAGATAAAGAGCACAATTAACTGTGTTCCACACATTGAAGTGTTCACCTCCAGTTCATCTAGAATTGAGAACCTGCAATCAAGATACCTTACCCAAGGCATTCAAGCTCTCAGACAAGGTAAGCAATCAGAAATGAAAACAAAACATCAATATTTGGTAACATTTTGGACTCTTACATTCTGTTTAACATCAGCTTTGCAAAGGAAAGAAATGAGTAGTCAGCTTCAGGGTAAAAAAACCAAACATATAAAACTAGTTAACTATTCAAAACATACTTTCACTTAGTTTATTTCAATTTAAGCTCCAGCCTAAAGATTTAACACCAAATCACTTGTGTAGAATACTTACAAATTCATCTTTATCTTGCCAGTCCCAAATACCAACATTCTCTAGAGCTAGCAGCTGATAAGGGTATCTTCCCACTGCATATGAAGCACCTGTTAGATCCTCAGGTTCGTTCTGGAAGCTTTCACCATCTATATATTGTCTGTCACTCTTTACAGTTCCATTAAGAATTGTATTATTCCATAAAAAGCCCATCAGGTATTCACCATTACCAGTAGTGACAGTGTCAGGAAACAGCTGATTTGTCAGACCAGCACCGTCACTCGGGAGACTTGCACAATGCGACCACATTTCAACTTGGGGATTTTGTCTGTCCAGTTTATAGGAATATTCTTGGTTACTTGATACGTCTTCCATTGGATCTAATCCACACTTCTCACTTTTCACTCCCTGAAATCCTTTGGCAACAGCACAAGTATTGTGTATTTCATATGAAGGAGTAGCAGCGTATTTGTCTACCTGCTCTGGGTCAACGAAAACTTCAAGTTCTTTGTTTGAGAAAACCTTGTGATCTGACTGCACATGTTCACAGCATGTGGTCGAGTCTTTCACTGGAGTGTTTAATATGTAACTGGTGTCTTTTAGTTTAGTCTCAGCTTCTAGCTGTAAATTCCCAGTGGCATAAGCTCCTACAGCACCAGATGACAAACTAGAAACGGTGAGACTTTCCTCCCTGGAGTCAGTACTGACACAGTGTTCTACTTCATTCTGAAGATTACATTCATTTACGCCATGTACACTTTTTTCAGGAGTTTCTGGTCGCATTTCAGTAAATGGACCAAAAGAAACTTGACTATTCCCAAATTCTGGTTTTGGACTGACACAGTCAGACGCCTGATCCTCTGCCACTGGTTTATCATGCGCATGAGAATAAGAATTTTGACACAATGAAGGTAAAAAATTACAGTCATTATGAAAAAGACTATTAGTATCTTCAAGAGTTTTAGAGTCATTTATCAGTTTCCCACTCCCGCACACACAGTTGTCCAATATTACAGGTAGAGTGTACTCACAGTAAGTACTTCTATCACGAGTCAAGTCTTTACTGAAATTTGAGCTGTTGCTGTCATGATCAGCAATGTTAGCATCAGAATTGTGTTTTGCATTTTCTGCCTCGTTAATTGTTTCGTTTGGGTGAACATTTGTCTGTTTCACAGATTCTATTATATCCCCAGCTATTGTGGCTAGATCAGTCCCTGCATTCCACTGATTTTCCATTGCACAGAAGGAACATACATCCTGCTGTTTATCTTGTCCACAGTTCAAGTCCACTTTGTTCACATCCTCGTGCTCCGCAGACACAGAAGAGATACTGCTTTCCTTATCTGAATTTGAAAAGCTGCATACTTTACCTTTATTCCCTGGTAATTGTTGTGAAGTCTGAAACTCTGTGCTGTTTTTCTGTAGGACTATTTCATCTGTTCTTGCATTATCTAGCTCATGAGATGACAAAGTACCACCACTTACCCACGACCGAGTTCTGCTGAAGCTACCAGCTTCTTCAAGCACACTGTCTTTTACCTTGGTGCTTCTCATACAGACATCTTCCTCAATGCTCTGTAGGGACACCACTTCAGCTGGCACCTTGCTTTCAGTACAACCCTTAATTTGAGTTTGAAAATCAGAACTTTCTTCCAAGCTTTCATGCATTTCAGTCATATTCAAAGTTTCAAGGTTAAGCAGAACTGTACCTGTGCATTTCTCTTTATCTTTCAAGAACTCTTCCAAAACGCTGTGATGTTCACCAGAGCCAGGTGCAAGATTCTGGCTATCATAACACATGCTTTGCAATGTTCTCTTTTCCACATATGGCTTTTCTTTACTTCCTGGCTTTAGGATGAAGCATTCTTCACCATTTTTTTCTGCACTTTGACTCGTCAAAAAAGCATCACTGTTTGTTTCATGCAACTCTAATAATTTAATATTATCCCTTGTATTCTCTACCACTTGTTTACTGTTTACAACACCTGAGGGGTGTAAGTTTAAACCATTCAGTACAAAATCAGAATTATTATCTCCCTCAGTTTTTCCTGAATTGCATGCTTCAGTTTGTAACGATATACTGGAAATACAATCACAAACACGTTTCAAGTTTTCTGAATCAGGGCTGTATTGGTCCTCTCCAGCAGAATCCACAGTTTTTACAGAATCACAAGTTCTACAAAATGATTCATTCCAACTGACACCATTACATGTGTTATATTTCTCCTCTTGTTGACCCTCAGGGATAACTTCATTGCACACTTCTGCTCTTAAACCATTTGTTACTACACTGTCCACATTTAATCTGTGCATCTGACATTTGTCAGTCAGTGAGCTATTGTAAGACTGGACGACCGTGCTACAATATTCCCCTGTTTCCTTATTCTGCACATCTGATCTATCCTCACTTTTATACACAGATGGTTCTTTCTGTGAATTAAGCTTAGCTTCCACTTGTGCTGATTGCTGCACTGGAAATTCCCTCTCCCTGTCTAGAGGCCATGCCATGCTGTGCATTCCTTCATCAGTAACAGCTGAGTTATCTACGTCTGCTGCAGTCTTTTCATGCATGGTAGCTGGCCCCTCTTCATCACCTCTAAGATCTTCAGCATCTACAACACAAATACTGTAGAACTCCCTCTCTTTTGTATGTTTGTTGTCTGCATCAAGGTAAGAAAAGGTTGGAGACATCTGCCTAAGTGAACCTGAAGCTTTTTGTAGGCTGTCACTCCCGTTGTCTTCAACATTAACTATCATTGTGTTCTGTATTGAATGGTTGCATGCATAATCATCAAGGAAATTTCTATTTAAGGAAATTTCATCCTGTAAGCCTCTGTCAATGATGGCTGGTATACATGAAGTAGAAATGTGACCAAACGAGCAATGCTCTTCCGTGTCTACATTTTCATTATTACTGTTACTGCTATTTTCTATATTGCTCATGTGCTGACTACTCTTAGGTTTTTCAGACGCATTTTTTTTAATCACCTCATTTTTCTTTTGTTCGCTTTTCTGTAGGTTTTCACCTGTACCCGAGACCTTCGGAAGGTGACTAAAGGAATTAAAAAAGCTAGAAGGTCTGTCATGTGCTCTCCTAGAGCTCTCACAGGAACTATTCTCCATACTTTCATACGACTTATATTTTGCTTTTCTATCCCGGGGCCCGGATTCAGAATTTAACACTGCGCAATCATCGGTACGAACGCATTCAATGCCGGCTACCGCAGCTTCCCCATTAACTGTCCTTCCCACTGTACGCAGATTCTTCCTTTCTACAGCTCCTAAAATTGAAGATAAAGTTTTACTTATCCTTGAGTCTGGGGCTTCCTCTTCCACAGGTTTTTGTAACAGGCCAGTTTTCTCCTCATTCGTGCTGTTACTCAACTCCTTACTGAAGCAGCAGCCCATGTTTAATTAGTTTCAAAGGAGCTTCTCATCGCGAATCACCCTCCTCTATACACTAAGCTAACTTTCTACTGCTACTCAGGAGACAAGCCAACACCCAGCTGCCAAAAATAGCACACTTGAAAACCATGCAGGGGTTCATATGTCAGTGCCACTCAAAGTCCAAATCCCAGTTGCTGAGCAATGTTTTCGTATTTCATCATATGCACTGTAACATTCAAGCCAAATAATTTTCCTAATGAGATTACAGTCTGTTTACAAGTGTTACTAAGTCTTACGAACTTCCATTGTTTAATTTCCTGAAGTTTCCTTCATCTAAATTTCTAAAATATTTAAATGGTATCTTCCACAGTGTCTGTGTGCCAAAAATCTGCTTGCCTTCCAGTTTAACATGACTCCCATTTTATGTACAATGCACTCTGCCTTCACCTGTTTAAGCCCAATTTAAAGGCTAAACTAGTAGAAGCAATTACATCAAAGAAGTTCTGTACCATTTCCTTCTTCTCTCTCCCTCTCTACAGCTGAATCTACACTGAGATTACTGCTTTAGGAAAAACAGGCTAAAGATAGATAAGACCTCATGTATTCCATTGAACAGTCATTGTACCTTATCAGAATCTAATTTTGTTCCAAGGCTTTTTTTTTTTTTTAATTGTTATCTGCATGGAAAAAAAGAAGAATGCATCGTCTGTGAATTACAGCCATGCAAATGGCCTCACAATCACCTATATGTCTTGTGAGACTGTGGCAGGATTAATTATACTTAATTTGTCCCCAAAATTGTGTATTATTTAACCTAAAAAAAGCTCCGAAGAATTTAAAAGCTAGTTTGACTAAATCATAAGTGCCAGAAGTCACTCAACAGTGTAAACACTGTTTTCTGTATGCAAACTGAGTTCCTTCTAGAAGTCAAAAGAACATCTTAATAGATTTTTAAGTACGAGGACTGTTCTAAGTCCCTTCAAAAATTAAATATATATATATATCTCCCATCTGGATCCCCTCCTTCAACGAGACACAGCACTACCACCACAGCACATCCTGTTCCAGCGTTCAAAATGTGCTGAAAGCAGGACAAGACAGGCCTTGGTGTACCCCATTTCAAATGTTACCTCAGCAGTACACTGAACCAAGTGATAATTTCCAACTGGTTGCAACCCTATAACAAGCTTAATCAAGATCTACTAGAATTAGAGGTAAGATAGCCTGGTAGCTTTTCTTCATTGTATTCATAGCAGTATACAAGGGTACAACGCTAATTAATGCAGCTGTCTTTCAGATAACTGGAACTAGATCTATTTTAATTTATACTGTAAACTACACTTGCAGGATAATTGCTGCTTAACACACCTACATCCATGCTCTAATTTTCCACTGTCTTGGTTCTTTTACCTTTTTTGCTATAACTTATTTCAGAGTTGCTTTCATGGCAAGAGAAGCATAGGATCCTATCTAACATATCCTTATGACAGACATATCGTATGCTCTCTTCCAAAAATTCCAGGAATTTTATTTTTTTAAAACCAGAGATGCCCATGGTCACATTTTCCCTACAATCTTTCACTTTCTTCACTCCAGTAGAAAAAAACAACTGTAAACACAGTAGTGAACGTAGTTGATGCTTAGTGGTAATTAAGCGTCAGCTCTTCCTTCATCATTCATGTCTTATTGGTAAAACAAAGTTCACACATTTAATGAAACACAAAAGGAAGCAAAACAGAGTTTCATATAGAAGATTGAGGGGAAAAAAAAAAAAAAAAAAAAGAGTGACCCTGCACTGAACCACAGTAAGCAAAACAAAAGCTAGACAGAAAGCAAGAAAATCTTTTGCTGTCTCAAATTGTTCACACAACCTTAAAAACTTGCAGGTAGCACTGCGCAAGTGTGGGCACACTCTTGGAATTCAAATGTTTCACTTCATACAGTTTGCACTACACACCAGTAAGAACAGTAGTCAAGAACAGCAGAGTTCACACGTTTAGCAACATGAATCAAACTAAACCTGAGCTCAATCATCCCATAAACTTGACAGGTAACTCAACACAACGCCCTCCCCGAAGAGAGGTAAGAATCCATAACCATTCTGTTCTCTTCTCTGAACCTTTCAGAAAATATTCAAGTATTACTGCAAGTATGTAGAGTGCTCTGAAAGTAACGCATCCTATTCATTTCCATGGAAACTGTGACACACAGAGAGAGCACAATAACACTGTTTAACAGAGCAAACTCTCAGCTACAAAGCCCTATTTTTCAACCCAGTCACCACTATTAGCTATGCATTTTCACCAGCAACCTACAAGAGCCTGCATACCGCACTCATGAAAACCTGTACCAGTGGAGGTGACCCTCTGCTGAAACACAACCCATCACCTCACTGCGCTCACATCCACTCTGTGGTCATCATAAACGTCCAGCAAACATCAATGCATGTCAACAGGTACAGTTTTTTTCCACGTGGAGGAATTCAATTCCTAACCTTTGCTTCATAGCACTTCCATGTCAGACACCATTCTGTCAGACTGCCCCTCTGCTGCCATCTGTCACACAGCAGCAACATGTAATGGGATACTGGTGGGAAGCTTCAACCTCTACTGCCTCTGCACCAAAATGCACCCCTTGACATCATGCGCCAACAGTGTAAAACAGGCGGCATTACTTTCAGAGCAGCCCTCCCAGTTTCTTAACTAACTTGTATGCTAACACAAAAAACATATAAAGCTACAATACAGCTGCCCATGTATCCTTCTCTCTCCAGAGGATGTGCTTGTTGACCAAATGAATTAAAGAAAATGATGCCTCTAAAGCACTTAGTGTATATTTAAATGCTATATACAGCAGACTGATACATAGAACTATACTGGTTACCTTTCAAGAAAGAACTATTCACCACCACTAATCCTTTGGCCATTACAAAGATTAAGGAATTGGCTAGGAAATAAATGCATTCCCTCCTCAGCAAGTTTGTTTTGGAACTGCAGAGTAACAAAAAAGGAGAACTACCCTGCCCCCAGGTTATCTAATGTGTGAAGCCTCAGAAGTGCCCACAGATAGATTGTTCTTAAGGATGGGAAGTCTGATGCATCATTGCTGCCATCTGCTGCATTTTTTAAATTCTCCCCTGGGACAAAGTTATTCAACATGCTTGTATCCAGCCTGGCTCAGACTCACAGCTATGCCAAGCCACTTCTCTCTTAAGCATTCCCTGGAACAAAGTACAGGGAGAGGGGGAGGGATTGTTTGTAAGAGGGTTTTTTTCTTTTGAAGAAATGCCATGAGCAAACAATTCAACTGCTTTTAATGTCAGCATTAAGTGACATCAGTACTTGGAAATTCTATAACTATTCAGACAGCTCTTTGTCAAGTGAAGAATTAATACAATATTCCCCTCTGTGATACAGTACAAAGTTTTTGGAAAAAAACTCAGCTCTAAGTCCTGGGCAAAGGCCACTTTCCTTGGGCCTTAGCAAGCAGTTCTACTATCAACCAATGATAAGAAAATGAGAGCAGCAGTTTATACAAAAAGAGGGTTCTTCTATTTTTCCCATACTTTTCTCCTTATGTGCAAAGGCACGTTCTGTATTTGTTCCTTCAGTTTTATCTAAGAGTTCTAGAGATTATTTCTGATTTTAAACACCTACAGTGCAACATTCATCAAGTCTCATTTCTCAATAATGTTAATTGTGGAATCACCATAAAAAAAAAAAAAAAAGCATGAGAAATCTAAGCAGAACTTGCCCACAGACTCTTACACTACAATAGCTGAGGCTGTTTGCTCAACTTGGAAGGCACAGTAAGTCTTAAAAGCCTTCTGGTTAGGCTAAACACCTCCACCTGACTTGAAAAGCACTTCTGAAACTAAAAGAATTGGTGCTCTACCACTTCAGAGTTAGATTCAGCTGGGAAGAAGGTGGAACCAGAACTGCTCTGAAGCAGCACTTCCACAACTTGAACAATTTGTACTTTTAGTCCTATATCTGACATGCACCTATGCAGAAAGCCAGAAGTCAACGTGTTTGTTAATAGTAGTGTATCTTCAGTCTACATTCATGTCTACATATTTCTGCAAACCTTGTCAGGGAATAAGGGTTTAAATCCATACACACAGATTCAGAGAATTTAGTTTTAAAATACAGTTTAACTGCAAAGTTATAATACCACAGGTTTAAACAGCCATTACAACATTCTAATGTTTTACTAAAAAGTGATAAATGACATCAAGTCACGCAATTGCAGTCAGCCCTTAAACAACGATTACCCTGCTCTCCAAGGCAATTACCTGATGTCTTGCCCACCACCAGTCACAGAAAAAGAGCAGAGCAATATCGCAACAGACATCACAATGTCACTGCTGCAGGTTTCAGGAAAACAGCTGAACAGAATGTTTAACTTTCCTTTCAGGATATCAAGGTTAAGAAGACTGTTAAGAGTTTAAATATACACATTTTATACATTAAAACAATTAAAAACAGCCTTCAAAGTCACCTAAATGTGCAGAGCTGTTCAGTACTTGTTTTCTAAATGAACAACACGACAGAAAAACCTAACGCTGGGCAGTTAGTGTTCGAGATGTTGACAATCTTCCATCTCTTGTTTAAAGCAAATTGTGAACTCCTGAATTACTAACTATCACCACAAGTTATACAAACTGTTAGTAGTTAACACTTCATTGGCATATACTATAATACTATGTATTGTTAAATGACCTAAGAATTACACACCATACTGAATTTTTGCTCAGCTATTACACACGGCCCTACATTAAGCTAGAGAATAACATCTCCTCAGTTTCCTTTCAATTCTATCAGGCTTTTTCTTGATTGGATTGCAGAATATTTTTGAATGTATCCTAGAAGCTTTTAAATCTAAGATATCCTTTCATATGAACTCCAAAATAAACATTGTAGGAAGCACAAGGATTGCTTCAAAAGTAATGCCTCCATGTTTATTATGTTGGCCCATGACATCAGAGACAGCAGAAGTTGAACCCTGCCATCAATATTCCATTTGTAAGTGTAAGCTACTATTAAAAAGCAGTTTAGGAGGATCCTCAAGTTGCCAAGTTCTTTCAGTCAACTTACGTGCAA